ACATCTGGTCAAGCGCGTTCGCCTGAGCCAGAGTCCTCGGGAAGCCGTCCAGGATAAACCCGTTCTGGCACTCTGGTTTCGCGATCTCGTCCTTGATGATGCCGATCACGATCTCGTCCGTCACAAGCCTGCGATGCCCTTCGTGAGCCTCTCCTCCTCCCGTCCTCCCTCCTCTCCTTCTCCTCCCCTCCTCCTCCCCTGCTCCTCCTCTTCTTCCCTCCTCCCTCTTTCTGCCTTACCCTCCTGAGTCCATGATAGCCTTGGCCTTCTTCCCGACATCGGTGCCTGCTGCCACTGCGGCGCGGAGCATGTCGCCTGTGGACAGCTGCGGGATGTTCCTGGACTCCACGATCTTGGGTCCGTGCGTTCCCTTCCCTGGACGAGGCTAAGGTCAGGAGGGTTGGCAGAGCATGTTGGGCAATTGTTCGCGATGAACCCGCCTCCTTCCCCTCCTCACCCGTTTTCTCTCCTCTGCTCTCCTCTGCTCTCCTCTGCTCTCCTCTGCTCTCCTCTGCTCTCCTCTGCTCTCCTCTGTTCTTCTCACTCCCGCTCTGCTCCCCTCCGCCCCGCTCTCTCCTGCTCTGATCCCCTCCGCCCCGCTCCCTTCCGCTCCGCTCTGCTCTGCTCCCCTTCTGTCCTCTCTCCTCCCTCCCTTCTCCTCTCCTCTCTCCTCTCTCCTCTCCTCTCCTCTCCTCTCCTCTCCTCTCCTCTCTTCCTTCACCTGCGCCAGGAGGGCCGAAGAGGATCATGATGGTTCGTGCCATAGTCTGATGTCACACCCTACCTTCCCTGCCACCCGTACCATCGACTACCCCCTCGTCTCATGTACCACCCCTACCATCCAATTGCACCTTCTTCACTTGAGTACCCCACCAGTTATTTCGATCCAGATAACCCCAAGGACAGTCTAGATTACTACCCCTACCCCCACCAAATCAGCTGATCCACGAGCGCGTTCATTTGATAAAATCACATGTGGTTGGTTAAAAAATGGGGGAGGGGGTACAAAACTAGGGGTACTTTTTATAGAAAACTTTTGGGCAACTATGGGTTTATCACAAACTGGAGGGGTCTTAGAATTGCCAATGCAAATGATGGGGTAGGGGTACGTGACAGGACAACCCACGCATGGCGCGTACCATCATGATCCTCTTTGGCCCCCCTGGCCCACGTGAGGAGAGGAGAGGAGAGGAGAGGAGAGGAGAGGAATGAGGAGCTGAGAGGAGCTGAAGAGAGGATAGAGAAGAAGGGAGCGGAGGGGAGGAGGGGAAGGGGGAGGGGGGAGCTTTTCATATGCCTTCACAAGAAGGTATATGAAAAGCCTTCACATGAAGGCATACGAAAAGCAGAATGTTGAGGAGTTTGGCTGCGATGCCCACATCGCAAAAAACGGGAGAATAGAATGAAAGTGGTGAAATGAACATTTTCTGTGTTCGAGCCAGGTCACCACATTTAGGGAGGATAGTTCTGAGAATGGAGCAGGTAGAACCAAACGATGTCAGTGATAGAAAGGTCCAAAACCATTCCATACACCTGCGCCATATACTCTTATACACGCACTTATCCTCGGAAGTCCTGCTGCATGCTTCCTGCCTCCTCCTCCTCTTTCTGCTCCATCAATGAGTCCTGACTCTCCCCAAACTCTTCCTCTTGCATGCTGCATGTGCCCAACGTGTTCTGCCAACCCCCTCCTGACCTTAGCCTCGTCCAGGGAAGGGAACGCACGGACCCAAGATCGTGGAGTCCAGGAACATCCCGCAGCTGTCCACAGGCGACATGCTCCGCGCCGCAGTGGCAGCAGGCACCGATGTCGGGAAGAAGGCCAAGGCTATCATGGACTCAGGAGGGTAAGGCAGAAGGAGGGAGGAGGGAAGAAGAGGAGGAGCAGGGGAGGAGGGCGGGAGGGAGGAGGGGAGGAGGGAGGACGGGAGGAGGAGAGGCTCACGAAGGGCATCGCAGGCTTGTGACGGACGAGATCGTGATCGGCATCATCAAGGACGAGATCGCGAAACCAGAGTGCCAGAACGGGTTTATCCTGGACGGCTTCCCGAGGACTCTGGCTCAGGCGAACGCGCTTGACCAGATGTGAGGGATCGAGCGAGAGAGGAA